ATATATTATGCTGACCATATAAGGTGGGTCGAACCAATCAACGCCTAGTTACGAGAATTAACCAGCGTATTCTGTCTTCTATGAAACGTGGAGAGTTGTGAAGTTTAACATGGCTGTCTCACTCGACTCTAGAGTCTACTATTGTCCAACATTTGACTGACCATCCCGTGTCCACAAATGAATATCGAAAAAAATTGGTTCATCATATGACACAGGGTACCTTCTCGGCATATGCTTAAAATCCTTGAGGTAGTTGGTTATAATCAAATTAAGAAAACATACTCTGTGTAGATAAAAGAGAACTTTAGCCGATTCCGGATTCAATTTCTGTCAGAACGCTAATCATTCTTCATAATTTAAATCTTTTATCTATTTTTCCATGTCTGCTGCTTCTTCAGCTTAGTAACCAAAGAAAGTTGACTGGAAAGCGTGAAGAAATGTCCCCGAGTGATAAGTGCGAAAAAAAGATACTGTTAGCATAGAATGTACGACAGTTATATCTACCCAATTCGACCATTAGTTTATTAGACTTTGCCGCCAATTTAGCACTGCGCTTAAATTCATAAAGTCTAGGTCCTCTAGAGAAGAACACATCCGAACAATTATCATGAATGCATATATAGAAAAGGCATAGGGAGGCGACGACGCTGGTTAGAGACTGAGGCCAAGATATCTGGTCAGCACCGGTAATATTTTTCTTCTTCTTTGGTTTTTTATCAAGAATAAGTATCAAAAGCACTGGACTATATGCAGCAGTAATATACTAAGCATGGGAAAATGGTAGACTTATTGATATGTAAGATATATTCAGCAGAAAACCAACTTTCACAGGGAACCAACTTCCTTAGCAGCAAATCTTGCAATAGATTCATTGCAGTCTTTCCGCTTCATTTCAATCGAAAATTTTACCCGGGAGAGCGCAAGGAGTCACTGTCTTGGACGTTAGTATATGCAATTCTGGCGGAAGGCAGAAAGGGGTCTCTCAGAGGATATGCTTCTTGCCTGTTTCCAACAGTTTTGTCAATATATATATATATATATATATATATATATATATATATATATATATATATATATTTAAATACGGACAAAATTGTTCTAATCTTGGTATTGACCCTCTTTTAACTTAATGCTGTGAAAGTTAGAATTTCCAATATTTGTCTTCTAATTACATTTGTATATATATATATATATATATATATATATATATATATATATATATATAATTTATTTAAAAACTATAACATAAATATGTTATAAAATCACTACAAAAATAGCCATTTGTTTCAACATCTCTGGTGTCCTATCAAGTGATGGTGTTGAATGTAGATTCTACATTCAACATCATAATTTGATAAGACACCAGAGGTGTTGAAACAAAATGGCTATTTTTGTAGTGATTTTATAACATATTTATGTTATAATTTTTATATAAATAATTATATTTTCTCTGCTCTGTATTGAGCACTCTTTTAAGAATAGTAATTGTTGGTTATTGGAATTTATTCCGTATACACCAATCCTATACTATATATATATATATATATATATATATATATATATATATATATGTATGTATCCACATTTTCATTATTCAGTGATCAAGAATAACCACCAATCTCTTGGTCTTACAATTCGTCATACAAACGAGCCCTTCGTTGTTTTGCTTGGCTATAGGTTGTTGTTGTTTTAGACGTTCGAAATAAAGCAATCGATTTAAATTTCAACAAACACAATTATCATAATATCATTATGCCCTACTTAGGCAGTTAATGTAAAATCTAATCTCCATCTTGATTGTCTTCATTTTTTCATTCTCTTGAACAGCAAGAACTATTTTGACTTCTTTCTAGCGTCGAGATCTCATCATTTTACAATTGACCTGATTCAATGTCTCCGTAAGTTCTATGCTAACAATTTCTTTTATCGCTTGTGGAACTCCCTTCCGGCTCCATGCTTTCCAGCTAACTTTAAACTGCAAAAATGTAAATGCAATGTCAATCGCTATCTACTGTTCGCCTGATAACTTTTTCCTATTTCCGCTCATTATTATTATGTTTTTGTTTTTAATTCTGTAACCACTTGTATCTTAGTGACATGGGAGTGAAACGGAGTAAAAAAAAAACAAAAACAAAAAAAAAATTAAAGAAACATAAATTTTTTCCTATCTATAAATATCTTTCTTAGGTTTTATATATTTCCTAATGTATGGCACCAGAGAATTTATTAAAATAATTACTTTCTATTCCACTAGCCACATCAAAACAAAAAAGCTGGAATAAAATGCGACGCCAATTTCACTAATTCGAGGCTGTCTCTCTGCATCAGCATCGCCTCACCTGTCTACTATCTGCTTCACAACCGAGTAGGGGCGCCTGGCACAACGCAGTGCCCTCTTCATCCACCGGTACCCTGCTAGATGATGAGTGCACATGGGTCGTAATTGCGATTCGTCTTAGGCGCAAATTGTTACAGTTTTTCTATTCTAAGGTAGCTTAAGAATTTCGTTTCCCATAATTTATATCTCGACTCGTCTCCGTCAAAATACAGTCGTAAACTGGGCTCATAACCAATGTTAAAATGTTTGCTGTAGTCTTTGAACATAGAATCCAGTGCAATACGCAATGTGTTCAATGGAGCAACGCCAATATTACTAGTAGCAGCTGTTCTGTAACTCTTCAGGTGTTCTATATCAGAGGTTGGCAGTGAATATTCGGAGAAAGTAGCAGCTGTTCAGTAATACTTCACAAATTATGTGAGCGTCACAGATGTAGATGTGGAGCTTCCGTTGATGAGTTCGGTTTGCATTCTCTCTCCTGTTGTCGTAGTGTCGACCGCTTTCCATGGCATGCAGCAATAGACGACATCATCAGAAGAGGTTTGGCTGCAGCTGAGTTCCCTTCCCGAATGGAAACTGTAGGCCTCGCTGATAGATTTTCTTTTTACTCCTGTGGCACTGGAGACTTCTGGGGTTATTGGCCCTCGTTCAATGGCGTTCCTTCGGAGAAATGGCGGAATGGCGTCTCGATTAAGTGATGAGCCTCGTGAAACGGAGTGGCACTTGCAGCGTGTCTCACTGGTGATGGTGTGAGGTAATGCTTTCTCTATCATTGCGGCAGTCAGAGGATAGCAAAAAAAATTTTTCTTATAGCTATTTGTCCTTACTTTTTTTTTTATTAATGACGCAAACCGCAACTTACTTTTTATAATATATATATATATATATATATATATATATATATATATAAAAGGTGGAAAAAAGCCTATGCGTAGATTACCCGAAAATTAATCTACGCCCAGGCTTTTTCCCTATTTCACCTTTCTTAACAGGATTACTACTCTCCCAAACAAACGTGCACAATATTATCAAAAAATCAAAAGAAAATGGTTGAATCTGTCAACACAGCAATAAAAACAATATCTCCACACGTGACAGTAATTGACGTAATTTTCAGTTAACAGTATGCAAATAGCTCTCTCTAAATTCTTCCAGTTGCTAAGGACATTTTGTTTTGTTATTATTAGTTTGATAAATTCATTTCGTTTTTGCCTTGAAAAAGTCCACACCGGACGAAACGCGTCGGCATATATCACAGTTTTCCTATTGTCTTTTACATCTATAAATATTGTCTTTTTCTACAAGTTAACTCTGAGAAATTTTTTCATATATATATATATATATATATATATATATATATATATATATATATGTAAATAATTTCATATGAATGATGAAATAGAGACGACTAATGGTGCAAGCTATGGTTACACACAATTGATTGTTACGAAGAGCATTGGTATAAAATGGGTGACTGATATTTATTCGTACAAAAAGTACAAATTGTGGCACGAGGCCAATAAAGTGGAGGGGTAGAGTCTGGTCAACACTAACTATCTTATACCTAGCTAATCAGATTCGCGACCCATTCGTACATTACATTTTACTCATTCACCAAAAGAACTCGTCCATCACCAAACAATCCTTCAACCACCATAATACCACGTGTTCTCCAGGGAGACCTACCAAAATCGCGCCCCATGCCATAAAAATTTTAATGATGATATATATATATATATACAATTCTAGTAATGATAAAATGGGTGACTTATTACATAAGCAATAGCGTAATACGGTAGACTGTTTTCACGAGCAAGGATGAAATCAAATTGTACCCATTTTTAAGCAATGACGTAATAATTGTTTCTGATTACTAAAACAGAATCGTAAAACTGGTGACTTAATACAGAGGAATGATGTAATACAATCAACTGATAGTTCAAATTATAGCGATGTACAGGTCTATGATTTCCCAAGTAATAACGTACGGTCAAATCACGCTGAAACACCGGTTCTCGTTCGATCACCGAAGTTAAGCATCGTAGAGCCAGGTCAGTACTTAGATGGGGGACCGCTTGGGAACACCTGGTACTGTAAGCCCCAAAGTCCAACCCTTACCTCACAGTCGGTGGGGGGTGTAAACAGTAGTGTCAGAGCTATGCCGCCCGGAACTTCGTTCCTGGTAGGGCCACCAAAGGCGGACAGGTCTGACACACACCGGCTAACAAGGGCTCTGGTGAAAATCCAAGGAGCGTCTGCATCGGTAACCGGCGGCTTCTCGTCGTTCCTGTCTCTGCGTCTGTGGGAATCCCGCGGCAAGCAAGAACGATATTCGAGTAGGCCTGGGTACCCTACTTCTTGTAATTTATCCCAAGAATCTTCTTCTCATAACAGGAAGAAGCCGGCTCAATCCGCCCAGTGTCCGATTTTATAAACAATACATCACATTAACAGCAGATTTCATAAACAATGCTGATATGTGGCTAATTTCATTAAAATGACGTCAGATATGGTTGCTTTCATGAGAAATTAAATAATATAAATGGCTTATTTTATGAGAAATGATGCCATATAATTGGCTGAGTAAAACAAATCACTAACATTTACTGAGTGTAAGAGAATATGAGAAAAATATATAGAGAGAACAATAAGAGAACAGCAAGGTTCCCGTACGAACGCCGAAGTTAAGCAACGTCGAGCCTGGTCAGTACCTAGATGGGTGACAGCTTAGGAATATTGGTGCTGTAAGCTTGGATGTATAGATGGCATAAAAGATGATTCCATTTGCGTTCGTTATATTCCCTTACGCGCAAATACCCTGGGTCAAAATGTATGAAACCACCTCTTTTCTCCCCTGCTATAGGTTAATTAGTATGACCTGTATCACGAAATCATTATTATCTCCAAAAAAAGAAATTTTTAGAATCTACAAATTTATTAAATAACCTGAAAAATGTTGATAAGCCGTAGAAAAGAACAGAAATTAAGAAGACAGAAGATAACGATGGACATTGCATTCATTTTTTAAGATCAAGTTGACTAAGAAGTAAGAAGACGGAATAGAGTTCCATAAGCGATAAATACAAGAGATAAAACTGCTAGCATAGAAGTTACGGTTGCATCTAGCCATTTCAACTTTAAAATGGTGAGACATTGCCGACAATATTGTATTTCGCTTAAATTGAGTCTAGGTACTATAACGGAAGTAATATTTATTTTGAATAATCCATAATTGTCTCACAAGGCTAAAAAGGGACATAGGGTGAAAGCTGAACTTTAATCTGTCTTATCGTTAACTTAGCTAGCTACGATTACGGAGTCAAACATACAACAGTATTCCACAAAACTTTCTTACTTACCATTCTTACTGAGTGCAAGAGAATATGAGAAAAAATATTAAGGAGAGAGAACAATAAAAAAAAACCAGAAAGGTTCCCGTACAATCGCCGAAGTTAAGCAACGTCGAGCCTGATCGTTACTTAGATGGGTGACAGATTAGAAATATTGGTGTTGTAAGCTTGGATGTATGGAAGGTGTAAAGGATAATTTCCAGTTGCTTTCAACACCATAATACCTCAAAGTCTCCATGTAGTCGTAACTACTCCCCATGTAAAATGTGCCTGTGTGGAGCGGGAAATAAAAATAAGAAGTGCCACTAGCACACAAAGGGTTACAGGTAATGGGAGCAAGAGTGAAGAGACATGATAGAGAAAAGGATGACGAGAAGGGCGGGGAATTGATCAAGGCATCTGAAGATGTCGATTGACACTGCATTTGAATAATTGAAGACTATAACTGTCAGGGAAGCAATTAAGACGAAGGGAGTATCACACACGGGAAGTGCGAGGCATGAAGATATTGGAGTAGAAGAGACGGCTACATTTAAGTTTCGACAGTGAAAGGGTTTTGGAACTAGCGAAAGTAGCTCGTCGGAGCAGTTATCGTGAAAGTATTTGTAGTAAATAGCGAGGGAGGCGACGGCATATCTTTGAGGAAGCGACTGTAAACGAGATGCCAGATCAGGACCAATCATATTGCATATCTGTCTCTGGATTTTGTCGAGGAGCTTAAGATGAATTTGGTGGCCCCAGACGATGTATGACTGCAATATTCCACGCAAGGGTGAATGGTTATAGATTTGAAGGATGGACTCAGGCGAGAAAAACTTTCTGGCCTGAGTTTTCTTGCGTGAGATGACGCTAAAAAAATGTTCATTAGAACAATTTCCATGAAAATATTCATAGAAACGGCGCAGGGAATCTACGTTACAGTGGCGGGAAATTTCAAAAGTAATGACGTAATATGATTCCATAAACAATGACGCAATATAGATGAACGATTTCATGCGTAAAACGTAATATACGTGTCTGTTTTTCCTGGCAATGACTTAACACACGTGAATGGTTTAATATACAATGACGTAATAGATGTTTCTGTTTTCACGTCTAATAGCGTAATGCAAGTTTCTGATTTCGTAATCAGTGACGTAACACAAAAGATATAATGTAAGTGGCTGGTTTTACCACCAATGATGTAATACTGAGTTCTCTGTGTAAACTTGTTAAAACATCCACGTTTTTTTTCACATCTTTAAAACAGTGACCTTGTGTCATTACTACGAACTGAATTATATTATCGCTAAATCTATTAACATAAAAGGATATTCGTTTTTAGTACAGTCTTTTCTGTGACAAACGATTGGTTTAAATATATTTTCCGTAGTGATCTGAAAAAGGTGATTTCGACAAACAACCTGGTTTATTGGTTGCCGCTGTTCCATAATCGTTAATACTTGACCTTGAACGAATGGATGATGCAAGCTTGAACAAATGTGTACAGCTACCCCGTAGTCATCCACAATCCTAAATATTGTTTCTGTTGTATTTATTTTGGAATTATTTTGATGGCGTCGATGTTTTCTTTGAAACAATTTTAATTGTATTTCGTGTACGCCGACTATTTCTTTGAGAGAAATTTAATTGCATTTTGTGTACGTCGACCATTTCTTTAAGATAAACGTAATTGTATTTTGCGTATGTTGTGAAATTCCTCTGGACTTACTCCCTGCTCTGGGACAGAATTTATTAAAAAAAAGTATCTATCTATCTATCTATCTATCTATCTATCTATCTATCTATCTATCTATCTATCTATCTGCCAGTCTATCTATCTCTGTGATTTTATTCTCGATATATTAGTATATTGATACTGGAGTTGGGATATTCAATTTATATGGAAGTAACTTAGATTGTACCGAATGTTAAAGTAAAGAAGGTGCATAAAGGATATTCTTAATACTCTAAGACTATATATATATATATATATATATATATATATATATATATATATATATATATATATATAGGAAGCAATCCTTCTGTGATATACGTATTATTAAAGTTGATGGGCAAGGAATTGCTTGTGAGAATTGTCAGAACGCTTAAAAGTATTGTGAAAACGCTAGAAAACTGAATAAAAGAATCACAAAATATTCCTTCCACAATATATATATATATATATATATATATATATATATATATATATATATATATATATATATATATATATATATTATTTTAATGTTATTTTTTATTTATTTATTTTCGTCAACCGGCCTGAATGTACGAAAAATCTTATTAAAGAAAGAAAATTAAGCCCACGGTATTTCAGATGAGGACAGAAATTTCTTTAAATGTAAACGTTCGGCCGTGGCTGAACGAATTGTTCTTTGTAACTGTGTTGGTCAGAGCATACTACGGTAGCTCTCTCTGCTCGGAGGGACGCAAGTTCGAATCCTGCCGGAAAATGTAAAATATTCTTTAACATGATTTCTCGAATATTCAGGCCTGTAAACGATAATAAATAAACATGCTGTTGAATAAATAAACGGGCGTCTCCTCAAATACGAATATTCACTAAAGATAACGTTTAATGTAGGTAACTCCACTTTTCGCGTAAAAAACACATAGCATAATGAAAAAGCCCACAAACTTAAGAAAAGCAAAGTTTTATCGTCAAAATTTTTCTTATTATTAAAATGAAAGACAAACGTATTTTTTGATTATTTTAAAAAAAATTTAAATCCTTTCTGCCATGTTCGAAAGTTTGATTCAAAATCTTCTTTTATTTACATCAGCGGTAGACTTAATTACAATGACTTTTTTTCCGGTGAAAACGGATTGATTTGGAAATTCTTGCAATAATCAAATAATAGTCAGATTTTAATGAAACTTTCAGGACTTATTCACAAATGAATGCAATTACTTTTGAATTTTTTATTTTAGAAAATTTTGATAATTTTTTTACTTTTTCATATGTTACCCCAACTTACTTAATTTCATGAAACTTCGTGAAATTCCTTTCTATTTCCAGAGGTTTTTTTTATTAGTTGAAAGTAGGACTCCTTGGAAAATATAAATCATCTAATGTTCTTTCAAACTTTTACTATTTTAACTGAAAATCTGCTCCGAATAATAGACTAGAAAAATGTAATCAAACAATGACATTATTTAATTAGAAAAACTTTTAATTGTTTTTGTAAATAAATTATATTAAGGACACTATTGTCTGAAAAAATAAACTTTTTTTCTATGATTAATGAATTTTTACAAGAAATTTTTCATTTTTAAAAATTTTAATTATAATATTTCAACATAGTTTTTAAATCGTTTAAAATTCTATGTTGCTCTATTTTTTGCATGACATATTATAATTAAGTGGAAACGAAATTTACGAATCCAAAATTGAAAAAATTAATAAAAGTCGTTTTCTATTTTATCTTTAAAATATTTTTTTCACTTTATTTATCCCTTTCTTTTTATTAATGATAGCGTAAATATGTCATTATTGTGAAAAGTTCGTGTGCTTAGATTGAAGAAAATAGAAAAATGATTTTTAGCTAATGTTAATTAAAGTTTATTAACTGTTAATGATTGAACAATATTTTAATTGTTATAAAACAAATTACAGATCAGTGGTTTAATTTTCTTGCTTACATATCTTTAATTTAATTTATTAATTTTATAGTACTGTTTTCATAAAGCATCTTCAAACGTAAGTAAAATCAATAAAATATTAGATAACTGCTGAAAATATGTCAATTTGTTAAAATTACTAGGTAGGTAAAAACGAAAAAAATGCGTTCAGTTAGATTTCGAAAATTTATGTCAATTCTGGTCAACCATACTAGCTGTCATCACCTTAAAACTTATCGATACATCAATAAAGACCAAAGAAAAACAGAATCAAACGTCAAGAAATGTTTGTATATTATATTTTTATGATATAATTAAGTAATATTTATTTCAAATGAGATTAATTTAACTTTAAATTTGGTAATTTTACTCAAATAGCGTGTCACAAATATACATTATATTTTTGGAAGATTTTTAAAACCAATAATTTGTTTTGTTTACAAATTTCTTAAAATTAAGAAAATATCCGCATTTAATCGGCTAAAAGTTGACATTCCGATGTATATAATTTTTTATATAAAAAACACCAGAATATTTTACTGAGTGGAAATGGTAAATTTAATCATTTAGCTTTCAATTAAAGAATGTTTTTTCATTTTTAAAAATTCAGTTTAAAACTTAGGTATCGAAAATTTATATCAAATTAGTAAAGAATTCATGAGGCAAGGCGCCATAGTTCTTGTTAACCCAAATAGATTCGATATCCTCCGAGGTCATTCTCAGGGGTGAAAAAAAATAATATAACTATGATCGTTGTTATGATGATTATTTTAAA